CTTTCTCCTTTTTTTTGTACATGCCTCTTGGGAAAACTGGGAATGGAATGGAAGCTTTTTCATTTACATTCTGCACAAGATGTATATTATGGATTCATGTTAGTATGGGTGAGGACATGAAGCCGTTGCTATTGAGCCTCAGATGTGGTAGCAAAGAATTAAGAGATCATCACCATCTCTCACTAAATATAATGAAAATCTAACTTTACAACACTCCTCTTAAACGAGCTTGCCTCATGCTACTTGGCTATGCATTAAATCTTGGCATACACAAAAAATAAAAACAGGGTAGTTCTAAAGGTTCATTTATGTTGGCTGGATTATGAAGATTAACTCCTCAGATGGTGTTCCAAGAAAGTCATCAAATGTAAGTATAATTGAAAATAAAAACCTAAAAACCATTTAAATATTGATAGGAAAGTGAACAGACAGGATATAGTCAAGACATCGCTCTTTAGATACATAACATCAGTGTCTATCATAAAGGATTAAAAAGTTTAATTCTCTAGGGAATATAATGGAGATTTCAACTTCAGTAAAGCGCATTTCCTGGGAATAATATAGCATCATTATTCTCATAGCAGAGGCACCCGTGCAGATTATACACATTTAATACAATTTAAATTTTAGGTCATTTGTGCTGATGGTGTTTTTAAAAGGTGATAAATTGGGTTTATTATTCTGTAAAATATTCTAACCCCGGGTCCTAGATACAGGGCAGTCCTCTTCTCAAAAGCACCCTGTGGCTTCTGTCACCTTGCCGGTTCACACGAATATTAGCTCTGTGCTAAAACGCAGTGTTTCTCACAACGCATGCCACCATTGACACACACGATGACTGCGTGAGGTCCAGGGAGTGGGCGCCATTTTCTTAATGGAGGGTATTATGATCATACAATCACAGCTACCATTTACTGAGCATTTACTATGCGCAGCCAAGCAAAAATTCTCGTCCGTCTGTTTGAATGGACTTCACAAGACCACCACGTGGTCGCCGCTGTTAGGACCGCCGAAGAACAGAAAGGAAATTGAGGCACTGAGAGGCTAAGTAACTTACTCAAAACCACAGAGCTGGAAATGGGCAGAGGCAAGACCAAAATTCAGATCTAGCTGCCAGTCCATGTTTCGTCACTTTGTGAATAGATTTATCGGTTAAGTGGTTTCACTTAATAGAAAATTTAATAAATCTAAATCTGTGAATATGAAATAAAGTCACACAAGCTATAGGCAAATGTGTGATGTTCAGGTAACAAGGCTTTAACATATAGGATGTGGGTTTTTTGGGTTTTTGTTTTGTTTTTGTTTTTGTTTTTTTCCTTTTGGCAGGAGTTCGCTAAAGATTAAGGATCCTTAGAGCTTGTGAGGTGATCGTGAAGAGGCAAATGCCAGGACAGGGTTACGATTCTGCTGCAGACCTCCTGAGATGAACTGCTCCACCCTTCAGCTTACCTGCTTCCAAGGCTGCCCAGAAAACTTCTTCTTGACATAGGAAATCTTCCTACTTTTACACGTTTTTAAGGCATCACATAATCACTTTTCTATGGGAAATATAAATAATTCAAATAACTCTGAAAAAGAAAGGCCTTGATTATTGTATATTACAATTTAAGGAAAAAACATCTAATTTAACAAAAAGCTGACAATCAGGTCAGAAGCATTACGGGAAGTTTCTTGCTCGTTTTCTCCAGAGGTTAAACCAGAATATTTTTTAAAGAGGGCAGAAGTTTAAGGTCTAGCTAGGGAATAAAGACATGTTTTGTCTGACACTTCCCAAGTCAAATCCAACATTTATCAAATGATTCTTAAGTGCTGTATTTAAAAAAAATACAGCCAGGAGCTGGCAACCTGGGTATATTAAGCTTTCATTATTGTAAATTTGTATTTTAAAAACCCAATGTCTTTTTCGTAAATATGCAAGGGCTTCTCTGACAATTTCTCTTCTTATAAAGCCATCTCTCACTAAAACATGTTAAATAAAACTCCTGTATCTAAAATGAATTCTTGGCATCTGGGAGTTTAAAATCTCCCCCAAATTCAGAGGTAGCTGGGGGGAAGCTGTATAATTATAGTTCATCTGAGTGCAAGTCATAATCAAAAATGTTGAAAACCGAAAAGTGGTATCTTAGAATGGCATTTCAAACAAAAAAAGTACTTACTGGCATTTTAAATTTTTTCCTGCAATTCGTTATTCATTCCATTGAAAGAAAATGTGCACTACCATTTTGGATAAGGCAAACAATACTCAAAATTGTCATTAACTAAAAACAACTGGCCACCACTATGTGAAAAACCAAATGCTTTAATGAGGCTATCAAGAACAACAGTTCAATTGTTTCATTGGATACATTAATATCTATCCATAATATACAGTGCTATGGACCATACAGAAATGATTGCTGCGTCCAAGAGCAGGGGACTATATTATTAACATTACAGTACCAAGCGTCCGCAAGAGACAGTCATTTGTCTTTTTTTTTTTTCAAGAAATAGGGTCTTTTAATATACTGTTATCAACACCAACTTTTCCCCAGTGCATTTTTAAAAAATATTAATAAGTGCATTCCTTTGTGCTTTATTTTATATCTCTTAACTTCCTATGTATTTTATTTGTTCTTATTGCTTTATTATTTAAAAACAACCAGAAAGAACTTTGTCATCCTGTGTATGACCAGGTTGGTTGTAAGGGTTTTTGGCAAAGTCAAAAGGTTTGGTATTTCCATGGCCTTACCCGGAGGCAGGTGGACAAGTTTGGCATTTTGGTCACTCCATACGGAGGCCCAACCCCGAGTCACAAGCGTGCTCTCAGGGACGGGGGGAGTGGTGTGTGTGGATCATTCTCTCGTGGTCACAAACGACGACCCCAAACCACCGCTTCTTGGCTTAACTAGTCCCTAAAACAAATCCACACTCGATTTGGCAAAAAAGAAATAAATAAAACCACCCCCCGAGGCTGCAGCATTCTCCTGGGCTTCCTCACCTGCCACTCCCAGAAATTGTCTCTTAAGAAGAAGGGGATGGGGAAGCAGGTGGCAGTGAGCTCAGGAGTTGCAAAGTCAGGACAGTGGTACAAGATGCCATGCTTCCTCTAACAGAGCTTTGTGTAAGGTCACTTAGCCCTGACCATAGTCCCTGGGCCAGGGGCTCGTCAACCTTGCTCCGTTTTCAAGAACCCTCACCATCAGCTAAAGAAAACAAGCATCATACCGTCGCGATCTTTGACTTCTGCACCCAGCTCCCCTCCCCCCATATAAATATGAAGAGAAAAATAGACAATGCTATGATTGTATCAGTGAACACTATGGTACAGTTAGCTGTTCATGCAGATTTGCATCACTATTCTAGGAAAAGAGCTATATAATTAAGGGGATTGAAAGAATGGGAATTAATTTTCCCTACCCCCTTTGGTAATAAAGCTATAAAACTGATCGCATCATCAATGTTTCCAAGGATTCTCATTGCCTGACGTGCATGGGAACTATGCAGTTGATTATTTTCATGGAAGCCATCCATTCATACACCTGACAATCACACCTTCTCTTTGAACCCTCCAATATCCATCTGCCAATTCGTATTTGACATTTAAACTCATTTTCTTAAAAAAAAAAAAAAAATTCCTCCTGAATAAGGTTTCCTGATGAAAAAAGTTGGCACTCTGTCACTAAAATATATTTAATATGAAAAATACCATCTTGAAACTGTCTCCTATATTACGGTTCAGTCAGTGCTAGTCCAAAAAAGACTACTGCTATATTTAAGGCACTTCATTCTGAATGGATATGCTTTATGCCACTTGCTATTCAATTGTAGGCTGCTACTGAGAAATTCCATTCAACAGCCTGGCTCTTAACACCATATGTCAGCTGTATAAAACACGTAGGCCAGATAGATTACATGTAACACTACTGTTATTGCAAAGGACCACACAAGTAGATAATGCACTGAAACTAACTTACAACTTTGCTGCTTGTTGAAACACTGTTACCCAGTAACAGTAATTTGCCAATACAGTTATTTCTCTCCTTCCAAAAATTCAGCAGCTGTTTGCTGAAATAAACCCTAATTTAAATGACCATAATGGGCGTATCAACGCTATGGTGATCATTCTCCAAGAATATTGCTACTTTTATATCACTAAAAATAAATATGTAAGTTTATTTTCTCTAGAAAGCCAGTTTTCGCCTATTAATACTATACCTTAAACGTGTGGAAAAAAACAGTTCCAAGTGAGACGGTAATATACAAAATATTCGCAAAGCTCTCTTTAAACACAAGACCTTGCATAAAAGTTTTCTTTCACGTGGGTACAAAGAATGCAGAAAACCACCAGTGAGTTGTAAAAATATTGAAAACTTTCCATTTTAAGATGCATATTCTTACAAATTAATACAAACATACTGAAAAGAACGATGATAATAAAGAATCTGTACAAATCAAATGAACAGTAAAACATAATTTAAAAATAAAAATAGGAAAGCCAATTAGAAATGTGCCCAGTTTGGTTTTCTTTATCAAAAGTGAAATGGGAGAGAGAGGAAAAAATTTTAAAAAGGACAACTTTCAGTGCTCCTCAATATTTTGAGAGGACACTCATTTCCTTTCGAAATAAAATATATCTTATGGAAAACTGAATCGATTCAACACTAACTGATGAGGAAAACTGTAACAGAGCACGGAGTGAAGGACAGCAAGATTAGGGCCCAGGTGTCAGGGCCTCGCTCTCTAACCCTTCAATTTCACTTGCACCTAAGTAAGGGATCAGTTACATTTTCTAACCAGACAATCCTCATGAAATTGGGTGCACTTTTTTTTTTTTTTTTAACAGAATATTGTATTGCCTTAAATAGCTTGCAGTAGAAAGACTAAATGCTATTAGTACGGTACTGGATCTTTAAGGCAGTACCAATGAATCAATACATTTACAAAGTAAAAAAAGGTTAGTGTGGATTTCTTCCTTTCTTTCCTCAATCTCTTTCTCTCTGCATTTTTTTTTTTAATTTTTGGTTACTTTACATTCTTTCAATTAAACTTTACATTTAATTTCCAAAGATGTCACAGGCATAAAAGAAAAAAAAAAAATCTCAAACCAAGTTTCCCCTGAATAAAAATGGACAGAAATTTCTCTGATGCAAAATCCTCTTGCTCAGAAAGCTAAAGTCCGGGGTGAATTCAGTTCGCAGATACTGTACACTCATTGTACAATACTTTGGAGGCATCTGTAGTTGTAAAATAGAATATACAAGTCTGTTTCACAAAATTCTAAAAATAAAATATATCCTGGGCTATTGATAAAGCATGAAAAAAACTTTCATATTAAAGGAAAAATTATCAAGAAACCCCCTTCGGGGAAATTATGAAACCTACGAATCAAGAAAGGAAGCAGTTTCGGAAAGCACAGGGCAGGGCGGCCCGCTAACAAGCGTGCTCGGCTTCTTCCATGCTCATGCTGCTCCTTCGGCTGCTTGCTTTGGAAGCTCCGGGGGACACTGACGAGAGCAGTGGGTCAGTTATGCCAACGGGAGAAAGAGTGTCATCCATCAGGATGTCTTCCAGTTTGGATCCCATTTTCGTGGGGACGCTATAGGCTTGGTTACCCTCGGTCCCCGCGCCAAGGTTGTTGTTGAAGGTGATGGTGCCGTCTGTGAGATCGAGCGTCGTCGTGCAAGGTAGGTCTGCGTGGTGCTGAAGGAGGTCTTGGTTGCAGTTCTCGAGAGTGGGTTCTTGCTTGATGATCCGATTCACCAGGTCGGGGGAGCAGAGGCCCGTGGATGGAATAAGCGAAAGTCCGTGGGCTCGAGCCTGCATTTCAAGCTCCTAAAATGAAAGCGAAAACCCGATGTTTCAAGAGGATTTTAGGGCAATCCAAGGACTGTATGTGGTACTATAAGGGGTTTTATGTGTCGTTATGTACTTGTTCAAACTCACAGGCTGTACAACACCGACAGTGAACTCTAAGGTCAAGCAGGGACTTTGGGTGATGGTGTCATGCAGTGTAGGTCCACCAGTTGTAGCATATGTACCACGGTGGTGGGGGGTGTGAGTGGGAGGGGGTGGCATACCTGTGGGAGAGCAAGGAGCATACAGGGAGTCTCTTTACCTTCTCCTCAATCGTACTGTGAACCTAAAACTTCTCTAAAAGTAAAGTAATAGGGGAGTCTGGGTGGCTCAGTCGGTTAAGCGTCTGCTTTCAACTCAGGTCATGATCTCAGGGTCCTGGGATCGAGTCCTGTGTAGAGCTCTCTGCTCAGTGGGGATCTGCTTCTCCCTCTCCCTCTGTGCTGTCTCTCGCTCTCAAATAAATAAAATCTTTTTTTTTTTAAGTCTTTAAAAAATCTGACAGAGGAAAAAACAATTATGAAAATAATTTTTTTGCTCTTTTCAATTAATAAATGCTATTTCTTCCAGTAGAGTATAGGAACCACCGGTAGTACATGACATGAGTTTTAAATGCTACACAGATTTCATTAGGTTTTAATACAGAGACTGTCTCTCCCAGATGTTCATATTCCTGAAGATAAATTTTAAAAACACAGAAATAAAAATAAATATAAAAATAAAATTTCAAAATGTGAGCTGATTGAAAGAAAATGTTTGGTAAATAATACAGTCCTGGGGTCCCTAAACTCTGAACACATATCCAGGGGTGCTGCAGTGAACTCACAGGGCACTGTGACATTTTCAGATAACTGGAGAAATAGCACACTACTTCAAGAACTACCAAACTCAAGAAGCCTCATGGTCTCAGCAGTAAACTGTGCGACATGCTTCTCCATTGCATATCATTGTAAAGCCGGGTCTTTGACGGTCGCTGTGATAAAAAGTAAGAACTGCATGAAAACCAACACGGGATGAGAAATGAGGACGGCACTGTCCAACTGGATTCCGTGGCTGGAGAGGTTGTGCAGTGTGCAACAGACACACACAGCCCATTAGTAGGTAATACAGTTATTAGAACATCAAATAAAAATGCTGTTTTTCTTTTGGCTTATATGTTTTGTATTTTCAAATAGCAACTGAGTTGTTAGGACCTAAACATTCATTAAGTTGGTTGGACCTAACAAAGAAATGGTAGGTATTCCTTTGGCCTAGCGCACAGCTAAACAGTTACTAAGATACGAAGGGTATCATGACCTAGTACAGTGGGTGGGAATGGCAAAACTTGTGGAAGTTGTATACAAGGAACTTAAATTTGAGAAGTGTTGCCTAACTCATCTTACCAGGCCCAAGGGAAGTGTTGTGCTTGGGTGGTTTGTTTTTTTAATTCCAAAAGAAAGTTTTTATAAGAAGGATGAATAACTTCTCTCTATATTTTCTCCACATCTTCCTATTACGGGCTGAATTGAAAAATTTGTTATGTTCCAAGGTGAGGGTATCAAGCCCCACATCAGGCTCCCAGCTCAATGCCCAGTCTCCTCGAGAGGCTGTCCTTCTGCCTCCCTGCTCCCCCTCTGCCTCCCTGCTCCACTGTGCTCACCCTCTCTCTTGCTCTCTCTCCCCCTCTCTTCTCTCTTTCTCAATCTTTAAAAAAAAAGAAAAGAAAAGAAAAATTCAAATGCTCAAGTCCTAACCCCCAGCACCTCAGAATGTGTGTTTTGAGAAGCTGTTTTTTAAAGAGGCAATTAAATTCAATGAGGTCATTTGGGTGGGCCCTAATCCAACCTCCAATAGGACAGATGTCCTTAGAAGAAGAGATTAACATATGATCTCACCGATATGTGGAATTTAAGAAACAAGGCAGAGGATCATAGGGGAAGAGAGGGAAAAAAAATGAAACAAGACGAAACCAGAGAGGGAGACAAACGGAAACAAACTGAGGGTTGCTGGAGGGGTGGGGGTGGAGGGATAGGGTAACTGGGTGAGGGACTTTGGGGAGGGCATGTGATGTAATCTGCACTGGGTGTTATGTAAGACCGATGAATCACTGACCTCTACCTCTGAAACCAATCAGACATTATATGTTAATTAACTGAACTTAAATTTTAAAAAAAGAAGAAGAAGAAGAGATTAGGACACACGGACACACCTAGGTTAAGACCCTGGAAAGCCTTTCCTGGAAAACCAAAAGGCAGCCTCCCAGAGAAGTACAGAAAAACTAATTCTGCCCACACCCTGACCTTGGGCTTCAGCCTTCAGAACTGCGAGGAGGAGACGCATGTCCCCACCTGACCTGCCCCCACCTGACCTGCAGTATTTGTTAGAGTGGCCTGAGCGGCCTAATGCACTTTCCAAGTGTCACAGCCTCTCCAGGTTTCTCTTTGCAAAATGCCTTCCAAGCAAGCTCTTTGCACTCTTCCCTGAGTATCCCTGGACCCTCCTAAAATGAACCCAAATGACTCTCGATGAGTGTTCTTTCTATGCTTGTCGTACTCTAATATAATAACAACAGAATATAAATGTGAAGTCACTTTGCCACTCGAAGGAGGGACAAGCAGCCTCCAGCGTGATCCAGCCACTCAACCTTTGCCCACAAGCCTAGAAACGCACTTTCCTGAAAAGTCACGTCCACTGTGTAGTCCAGATTGTTCTCTGGACGCCGGACACATAACAGACGGGAGCCCGAGATGTCACAAAAGTACGTTCATGTTCCTTTAGTCGATCTCCAGCAACACAAGTCTCTTTGGGCGTCATTTTAAAGCCTTGGGCTGTTTAATAAAATTACGGTTCCAAAGATATTAAGGCTTCATGCTCTTTCTTCTGTGAAAATTTCTGCATGCATCACTTGGAGTAAAAATGAAAGGGAGCCCTTAGGCCCAAGCTTGAAACATGCACTATTGTAAATCTACACCAACATGCTAATATGAACAGCTCCCCCACATGTGTAGTTTGTTTTAAAAAGAAAAAAAAAAGTTGGATGAAAAGAGGCAAACATCTCACTCTGATCTCTTGTTGTTTAATTAAAAATGTTTATCAGCTGATTAAAGCATTACTTAGATTTCTAAACAATGTGCTAAGTCTCATCTGGAGAACTCAGGCTCATTTCATGGTGGGGCCTCCCTAATTAATAATGTTTTCCGTGATATGCGTTAAGTTCTACAGGCTGTCTCATGCTGTCACCAGAAGAAACCTATGATGCTGTCACCGTGGCATTTCCAATCCACATTTTTCACAATATTCATATTCCACACAAAGAGACGAGTTTGGATGCTGAAAACAAAACCTAGTTCTCTTTCAAAATAGTTCCTATGTTTTAACATTTGTATAAGGAAATAACACATCAGTATACGCTGCTTTTATAAAAGGGTATGTTAAGTTCAAGAGAAATGGACCTATGGCTACTTATGATCATACGAACATAAAACAAACAACAAAACTAAAAAAAAAAAAAAAAAAAAAAAAAGGATTTTCAAATGACATGCAACCTCTGCTTCACTGTGGACATTCTAAGATGCACCCCCTAGAGGAGAATGGTCTTCTGCCTCCCTGCTGAAGATCACTGTCATGTCATGAGAGAAGTGATATTGGGAAATGTCAACCATGTTCTGGGGCATTCAAAAGGTCGGAGACCATTACCATAAATGAATTACTCTGTTAAAGAGGTTGGGTGTCCAGGATTCACACCACCAGATGGAATACACTGCTGTCTGAAGGGTCAGGCTCTGCTGGCCACAAACAGTTGCACTGGAAACCTGAAAATATGGTAAAAGGCGGGTCCATCTACTCAAGAAGAAGGTACTCTGCTGTCTCTTACCGGTGGACTGTGCTCAAGGTCAGCAAGTAAATGAAAATTACTCTTGCCAACTCCTTTGGTCATGAACAGGGAGTCCATTTTTCTTTGTCTTCTTCAAGACAGTTTCGGAGGAAGTTATGGTTATGCCCTTACCCTCCACATGAGAGCCCGAGTGCCTAAGAGGAGTACCATGAGCTCATACTACAGAAGAACTGCCCCATTTCACACTTCATACTACCATGTTTACTCAGTACACAGAATGACAGATGAATTCCACATAACAAAATTAGTATCTCTCCCTCTAAGAATAAGTAGCGTGAGTTAAAGATACAATAATTTCACTGTCTGCAACGACTTCTAAAATTTTTATCTTGGTAAGACCTTCTGGATGTCTCCAAGTTTCTTATAAACATAGGCTTTGACCACTGGCTACATAGCCCCACCGAATACTGAGGCATCTTGGTATTTAACACCTTCAATTCTTATTATTTGAAATAATTTTTGCTATTGACTGAATGTTTGTGTCTCACCCCACCCCAAAATTCCTATGTTGGAATCTAATCCTCAAGGTGATGAATTTGGAGGTAGGACTTTGGGCAGTAATTAAGGTGTGAGAGTCCTCATGAATGGGATTCATGCCCTTATTAAAAAGAACACCAGAAAGCGCTCTCCCCCTGTTATCATGTGAAGACCCAGGGACACCACCTCTGTCTATGAAACAGGAAGCAGGCTCTTACCAGACACTGAATCTACCTGCACCCTGAACTTGGACTTCCTAGGCTAAGGAACTTTGAGAAATAATGTTTGTTGTGTAGGCCACCCAGTCTGTGGTATTTTGTTACCACAGTCCAAATGCACTAAGCCAGTTAGGTTCTATAAAGTGGCTCTGAACCTTGAATTAGTATGTACCAAACGACTGCTTCTAAAAGAAATACGGAGTTAGGTTTCTATGAGTATCTTAGTCACATTTTCATTAACGAATCAACATGTAACCTTGTTTTATGTTTAAAGACACCTTAATACCCAATGTTGATTTATTAATATGGAAATCACAGCCAAGAGCACTGGAACTTACCTACAAAGGAAACTTATCTCCAGAAGACACCTCCCAGCCTTTTCATGCGTAGGAACACCAGATAACTTCAGTAATACTCTTAGGAGCCATTTTAAACAGCAAAATTCACCCATAAAACCCACAGAAATGTGAAAAGCCTGGGACTAAGGACCATGAAAAGGATGCTTATGGTGTGAGCTAAAACAAGACAGCAGGTCATTGCCTTGTTCAACCTTAACTCAGATTAGCCACTCTGCCCATGTCCACGAATAACCATAAGAACACCACGAATGTTGATCTTGGGCTTACGGTAAATTTTTATGAGTGGCAAATTCACAAAGAGGCAATCCATAAATAACAAGTAGCTACTGTATTAGGATCATGTAAATCAAGTCCCCCATGGCTCATTATATCCCCTTTCCTCCCACCTCCAAGTCAGGGACGTATCGCAAACCCGTCACGACATGTGCCCGTACCTGTATTCTGAGCAACAAATGCCGGTTGGCGTGCTCCAGCTTCTTCTGTCGATTTTCAAGTTCTTTTGCACGCTGCTGTTCTCGCTGCAACTTTCGGATATAGTCCACAGATGCTTTTAAGATGGTTCCCTTGTTCCAGCGCATGTCTCTGTAACGAAGAGGAAGAAAACAACCTTTTTCAGGATTCAAGGCACAATGAAAATTCATCATTCTGGGCATTCGATGTCTAAAGATACCATAACGATGACACGAGATGACAGGTACCATTCACTGAGTGCTTGTCCTGTGCTGGACACTGTCTGCCCACCTCTTAGACATTATCCTACTTAACCCAGACAAGCACGTTGGAAGGGAGGGGCGTGGTGCACGGGCTGAAACAGACTGTTTGGAGGAGTATGCCCTTGTTACAGAGCCACGACAAGGTGGGGTCAGGACTTAAATTTAGTTCTGTTGATTACAAAATCGATATTCTTAAAAACCATATTAAAGAGTTACAGGTTTCTAGGACTATCAAAGTTAACTCATTCAGGCAGGCAGAATAAGCTACAGTTAAAAAAAAAAAAATTCCGTGAGCTCCTACTACTTGACCATGTGAAGCATAAAAGTGGTATCCTTGGATTTTCTCATGAATATTCCCGGCCAAGTTCTCTAAGCTCTCCCCATCTCCTCATCTATAAAATGGTAATACTACACATGTATGAACAGCCTCGCATGTACATTACTGAACTCTAAGGAGGCCTCTTAGATGAATGTGCTATGAAAAGTCTAGAAGGCAATTCAAGTAACCGCAGACACTGTGTTAAAGGTTCAACAGAATAATTACAATGGCTATCTTTAAACAACATTTACTATGTGCCAGGTATCTTTTAAGGTTTTTTAGAGCTCATTTGATCATATCATAATCATCTCAGTGGCTAGGCACTAATATTGTCTCCATTTTGTAGGGTAGGAAACAAAGGCACAGAGAGGTAAAGTAATTTACCCGAGGTTACACAGCTAGGAAGTGGCAGAGCCAGAAGCCTAGAGGATCTGGCTCCAGACTCCAGGCACTGAACCATTCTGTCATTCTTCTTATGTGACTGAGTCCTCAAAAGAACCAGACTAGGAAGGAATATTCTGAACACCCTTGCCTTTTTTAAACAGATGAGGAAAATCAACTGTCTTCCCCAAGATCACACATCTAGTAAGGGACTCTTCTGGATTTCAAATCCAGGCAGCCTGGGCTTGGTGCCTTTCAGTTTTTCATGACTGTAACTGTAATGTACTCATGTATCTGAGGAAATTAAGAACACCATTAAAATGCAGGTAAAAGTGAGCTGAAAAATGTAGAGCACTCCAAAAAAAATAATTAAGAATGAAATTATAATTACCTAAGTAGTGTTTCTGGGGCACATTAAGTTAATCTAAGCTCTTTCTTTGACAGTGTTCATGATGACAACGACAAGGGCAATGAAAAAATAAACAAAAACAACTTCACGGGTGAAAACTCTTCTACCCCACAACCTCCGGCTGCTGGAGGAAGATCGGAAGTATCAGCGGGGATGTGTGAATGGAGGGTCATTAAAACAAGTCACCAAGTAGTTGATCCTCCTATGGATTAGATGAAGAACAAAACAGAAGTCCTCCCCTGAGAGGCAGACTTACAGACCCCAGAGAATTCCCGGGGGTCGATCCCTGGGGTCTGAGCACTGAAGACGGCTACCCAGGGAGGTGTCCTGAGATACAGGGAGCACGGAGCTGACTTGTTTAATGTTCAGGGCTGAGATCAGAGTAACAGACCCTTTAGCAGCCAGAGAGAAATGTAACCATAATGAAAGATGCCTTAACTAGGCCAGTGAAGTTGAAAAACCTGTACTGACCCATGACACATGTATGCAGTTACTCAGTTTCTAAGAAGTGACTGTTCCAACCAATTATCTTACTAAGTTTTGCCTCCTTGTGAGACCCAATCAATCAATTATGCTTTTAGGCTTAAAGGAAGGGTATTCAAACTTTTTTTTCCCTCGTAATTAGAGAACCACCCTTTTTTCACACAGAAGTATTAAAAGATCCCCAATATAGAAATCAACAATAGGAGATCTGCTATGGGGGAGGAGAGCATATGGGGCAAGACACTGGTCAGCCAGACTATGTTCCTAGAGCAGCCCCAGAACCTGTTCCAGAAACTGGTATGGAAAACCCCCATTAGAGATTATAGTCCATTTATCTTAAAACAATGCCTACAATTAAAGATCATTATCAGTTTAGATTATAAACACGTAAGTATTCTAATACAATAGAGAAAGAAGATATGCAAATAGAGGCTTTCACTGCAGCCCCATAATTTCATAATACGTTGCTAAAGAGATTCACATGCTACAGTTTAAAAGAATATGCTAAAAAGTGAAAGCTGATAAAGAACAGGAAAATGGGAATTCAATTTCAACTATCATGCAAGACTGACTATAGGAAATGAAGGTCACAGCCCCTTAGTAGGATAAATTTGTGCTGCAGAACTGAGAATCTGAATGTTTTGAGTTTCAAAATGGCTTTCCTTGAAACCTGGGAAAGCAAAATGTTGATGATGGAAATTGTGCTTGAACATCCATCAAGACCACCTTACAATGGGCAATGATTTTATTTTATTTTGTCACAAATTCCCTGACAATAATGTGAATAGCAAATTTAATAAGCCTTGCATGAATAATGCTTGATTTCATCTTTACATTTTATTAGGTAGCTAAAAGGTCATATTCAAAGGCTAATTTCATCGGATGCCTGTGGGAGCCATTAAAATGTATACACTCTAGCCCCTTACTTCAAATGGGCCACTTTCTAATGGATAAAAATTGTGTATTTGTTGTCCTACTTGCTGACGTTGCTGGTAGGGAAATTATCTTTACAACTGTTATCTGTCTGAACAGGGGTGGGAGGTGAGCAGAGACTGGAAGCTGAAACCCAAATTAGCTGACGTGTACTTAAAAGAAGATGAAAATTACTTTTTTCCAGGTTGGTAAAACACAGTGAGGGCATGCAAGTTTTCAAAAAAAATTTTTTTTGACCTTTTATCTGTTGACTATTGTTAAACTTGAAGTCTCTAATACCAGCTCTCAGTGCCCATCGGTACTGTATGAGTTGCACACAAGTAGCCAGCAAATGCAGTCTAAACCACTACTGAAATCTCTGTCCTGCATGAACGGTGAAGAGAATTTTTCTAGCAGCTTGGGGATCATTTGCCAAAAAGTCTCAGACTTCAGAAAGCTACCTCCTTATATCCCAAGCTCAGAGCTCATGTCCAGTAACCTTTGAATGCAATTCAGTTGATTTCTCTCCAAATTTTAGTCTGATGAGACTAACCAAAAGAAAGATATGGGAAATATACCAGCCATGGAACCAAAGGCAGAGGGGGTATTTCTAGACTCTAGTTTCTGTAGCTGTGCACTTTTTGCAACATATGAATAAACATTAAGGTACCAAAAAATATATGACGCAGATTAACATGGAATTGTACTCACGGATCATTTGACTTGGGAATCAAAGTACCTAGTTCTTTAATGCGGTCATTTATGTTAAATCGTCTTCTTCGTTCAACTTCAAGAAAAGAGCACAGGAAGGGACGATTAGTAACAGGGCCACATACACGTTTAGTAGATCTTGCTAAAGCCATGTGTGCCTTAACTGTGCCGGCCCAAGGCTATATAACCCGAATCGGTATCTCCCCGTTGTTGTCATGTTTTCGGTACTGAGGTTAAAGCACTTCCAAAAAATGGGCTACATTCTATTGCATAGAACATTATCATTTACAAAGTCCCGAGACAGTAATTTCTCACTTGATTCTGTAACACCACTGAAATTAGAGTTAGTATTCTCAATTATAAATGTCAATACTGCCTGAGAGATATTAGGGACTTGACAAGGACACCTAGCAGTTAAGTGGAAACAGCCAGGACTCAACCCTGAGTATTCAGATTAGGGGGCAGCAAATTTTTACGGCGCCAAATAATGAGTTACTTTTGGCATTGAGGGCCAAATGGCAAAATTGAGGATATTATGTAGATACCTAAAGAATGGAAGAGAAAATACATTTCCATAGACTTTTTTTTTCTTTACTGACAAAATTCAAAATGTGGTAATATTAACAATACTATATATATATATATATATATATATATATATATATATATATATATATTTTTTTTTTTTTTTTTTTTTTTTTTTTTTTTTCTTTGGGCCATGCAAGTCTACCAACAAGAAGCCCAGGGAGCCAGAATTTAGATTTTATATAATTTCTACTTATCGCAGAATATTCTTCTCACGGCTTTTTTTTTTTTTAAGCTATTTAAAAATGTAGAAAACATTCTTAGCCTCTAGGCTGTACAAAATTCCCTGCTCTGGGCCCAGTGTTGCCCAACAGAAATACAATGCAAGTATTGTATTTCCGTAATTTTCAATTTTCTAGTAGTCACACTGAAAAAGTAAAAAGAAAGAGGTAACACTAATTTGAGTATTTCTGTAAACCCAACAGAGCCAGAATACCATCACTTCAACCTGTAATCTATGTAAATAGTAATAAATTAAATACCGAACATTCTTTTCTTGGCACTACATTTTTGAATCCAGTGTCTTTCTTATACTTCCCGGTGCATCACATTCGAACTGGCCCCATTTCCTGTGCTCAACAGGCAGCTGTGTTGAGTGGCGACAGGACTGAGTAACACAAGCTTAAGAGTCAAGCCCAGCTCATTTCACTACGCTCTGTGTCCTGGTGGCATCCCTGTTTTATCAGTTCAGTTGCATCGTTAGCTAAATTATCATCTTCTCAGGGGAAGGTGAAACAGTAAAGCATATGCATTAATAAATGTCTCTAATTTACCTACTCTGGCAAATAAATTCCAAATAACTTAAGGTCTAACAAATTGGAATAAATATGTTAATATTTCACTTTCAAACCATATGTCCAGATACATATTTATATTTGACCAACTAGCATTCCATACACTTAGGTAAATAATATTACATGTTACTTTCCCAACAAATATTGGTTTTTTTTTTCCTTAGCTGAGCCATCACTTCTAGGATTCAATCAGTTACTTAAAGTACTGCCTTATCATTAAGCTTTTATAAAATAGAAATAGTGATACTCAATGGTTCTAAAGAAGGAACTTTTAGACCTCTGCTCTTCTGACTAAGCTCCTCCAAAACTCTGATGCATGACATGTCTTCTTACTTTTCTAGGCATATAATAATCATAAAGATTCAAACAGCACTGAAATACATAAGTAAAAGTGCCTTATGATCCAGATATGACCACTGTTAAGCTGCTTATAGATCCTTTGGGATGATTTTTTATTCTCCAAACATGCTGTGTACGGGACTCTTTTTGATCTACACTTGCTTAGTGGTGACCTCATTTAGTCTCATGGTTTCCAACACCACATATACGCTGATGACCTCCCAAGTTGTCTTTCCAGCTCAGACATGTCTCAAAACCCTAGACTCATATGTCTGACTACTAGATGTTTCCACAGGGATGTCTAATAAGCAGCCACAATACACCACATACAAGCTCCTGGTCTTCCAAACTCAAATAACTCTACCTACAGATTTGTCCACCTCATTTAATGTAACTCCCTCCTTCAGTTACTTAAGCCAGAATGTTGGAATCAATTCTGCACCTCTCTTCCTCTCATATCCCGTATCTGATCCATCATCAAAGTCTGTTAGTTCTACTTTCAAAATATTTCTAGAATCTGTGCACTTCCAACGTCCACTCTACCTGAGAGAAGCCACCATCCTCTTCGCCTGGATGACTGCAATGCTCCTAACGGCTATCTCTGTGCCACCCATGCCCACCGCTTCTTACCCACTTTGATCTATTTAGATTCTGTCGAAACACAACTCAGAGCATCCAAGCCCTTGCTGAAAACCCGCCAATCATTTCCCACCTCCCCTAGAACAAAAGCCAAGTCCTACATGGATCTGGTTGGCTTCCATCCCTCTGACCTCATGTTCTCTTCCTCTGCCTCTTTGACCACACCTTCTGTCATGACCTGTGTCCCACCTCCCTTCAGTCCCATGGGCTGCTTGCGAGTTCAACCACTTTAGGACTCTCCGCTTTAGGACTTCATACTGCTCTTCACCCTGTCTGGAACACTCTTCCCCCAGATATCTGAATGGCTCTGCCCTCCTGTCCCTCAGGTAGTGACTCAAATTTACCTATGAGCCTCCCTGACAGCCCTATTTAAAACTGAACCACCACCTTGTCCCATGCTCATCCTGACACTCTGTCCCATTGCCTGCACTTTGTCTCCTCATAGAACCTTCTACCACTTGTGTGAATATACACATATAAAAATGCATTATTTATTCATTGATGCATTCCAAGTACCCATATGAATCTGGCACCCAGTAGGCCTTCAGTAACTAAGTATTAAACAAAGAATGATATGCTTAAAGTAGGATTACAGTAAAAATGAATAGTATATTGTTGACATCATGTAACATTTAGATATACTACACTTCATTGAATGCAGTGCCTTCCCTCCCCAGTTATTTTTTATAACTTGTAAAATGTTCGAAAACACATAAAAGTGCATAAAGAAAAAAGTAAAAGCCAACTTTTTATACCATGCAACACCTATATGCCTGAAGAAATTATCAATGATAAAGGTAAACTCCTAAATCTTCTCCCAGCACATACACATACACATACACATGCACGCACGCACACGCACACACACACACACCTTTATACACTGTGATCTTTTTATATAATGAGATACTATACATATTATTCTGCCACCTGGCTCTTCTCACTCAGTCATATATTGTGGACATCCATGTAAATCAGGTAAAACAGACCAACTCCCTTCTTTTTAATAGCCACTGAGTATCCTGTATACGGACATCCCATAATATACTTACGAATACTCTAGTGATGGATACTTAGACTACTTTCAATTCCTCTCTTGCTATCAATGGTATAATGATCATTTTGGCTGGCACTCTCATGTACATTTTATTACTGTTGCAATTCTTGCTCTATACTGGTAACACCACCTTACTATATTTTTTTGCTCATCTATTCTGTCTGTCCTTGACTCAAATGGAAGCTCATAAGAGTGGGAAGCCTGTCTGTCTGGTTCACTTCTGTAGAAAAATGCCTCGTACGATATGGGGGGCTCAATAAATAGTTACAAGTAAATAAACGAATATATTATTGTGCATGTTTCGGCAGCTACTTTCACAAGGTTAGTTTCTAGGAGAGGAAAAGTTATGCCAATGGATAATCTAACCTTGAGTGTTCATTTCTAATGGTTAGATGAGATTTTAAAAGGTTTTTTATAGCCCTCAGAATGTGACCTGATCAGGTGTATACTTTACTGACAACCCTAAACTTGAGAGTTCAGGTGCCTAAGTAAAGGCAATGTTTTTGACAAAATACAACTTAGTTTCCCATATTTCAGTCAGGAGAAGTTTTGGATAATGCTTAATGATCTTAATTCTAAGTTATCTGAAAAGAAGAAATACATTCATTTGAGTCCAATTCCTTGGAAGCTGGAGGAGACCTTAGAAATATTAGTGCGAATCTTTTGGTGGAAAGGAGCAAAGCTTCTTGTACCTGATATAGGAACTGAGAAAGGCAGAATCTATTAAAAGAAAGAACTCAGCCCCCTCTGGGACCGAGCGATTCCGTTTCTCAGTACCTAACCTGGAGAAACAAACTCCCCTGTACACAGAGAGGCATTACGCAAATGTTCACTGTGGCTCTATTTGTAGCTGGGAGAAACTGGAAGCAGTATCAACACTTGGTAGTAGTAGGATTACTGACTGTCACACAGTTACACTGTGGAATAGTATGCAACAGTTGTTAAAAAGGACACAGATAGAGACTAGTAACAGCAAAAGTTCTTCAGGATGGACTGCTGAGTAAGAAAGTCAACAGCAACAAATATGGCTAACATGACACTGGTTGTTACAAAAGACACCAAAAAACACTATTTATTCACTGTGTGCATGTGTATGTGTGTGTCTTCTTATATACAGGGGCAGAGGCTGGGAAGGCCAAGAGCAAACTGAAAACAACAACAATGGTAACAACGAGGATGGCTCCAGGGGCCAGAGGAGAACTCTAGTTTTATTCTATCATTTTAAATTCTGGCTCATTCTATCGTTTTTTTTTATGAGGACAAAGTATTTATATGTAACCTACATTCTTAAAACTCAATTTAGGAAGAAGAGGACAGGAGGCCGTGAGAGGAAAAATTCACACACTCGCCAATGACTTCCCACCACCAAACCCAATCTTTTTTTTTTTTTTTTAAACTGTGTAGCCTCTTTTACTTTTGTCTATGAAACAAAAATCTTAAGTTCTCACAGGAAAAAAACTTAAGGATTTGATTGAGGAAATTAAAGACATAAAAAATAATTTTAAATGTTGGAAGATTTTCTTTAAGTCACAGTTTAAGTCAGAAATTGGGGAGGGTACCTCATTCACAGACTCCCTTCTGTTTCTTTTTTTTTTTCCTTTCAAATCTCACTGGAGAAGGTGATCCCATAATCCCCTTTTGTTAATAAGTTCCAGTGTGAGCAACACTTATAATTGGGTAGTTGGGGATCAAGTGTCCCTCTCACCAAACACACACACCAAAACTATTACTATAAATAAGTAAACACTCTTCAGAATACTGGGGAAAATTTCAATTTGATGAGAGATAAAATACAGGAAAACCTTAGTTTCTCTGAAAAACATTTTTTCTTCCTTAAATATACCTTTAACAGCTATGCATATCAATTTCCTCCCACAAGATTTCAAACAATTTTGATATAAGGGGGAACATCCACTCCAATATCAAACATCATGAACATAAAACCAACTTACTCAAATTGTGATTGTCCTTTTTTTGCCTCTCTTTAGCCAACGCTCTCGCTTCAGATTCTGTGGGAAAAATACACGCTGTGCACGTGAATGAAGTAATTAGAAATGGGAACTGTTTAAGGCACACAATAACGTATACTACAAAACATCTCATTTTCTAGTTAGATATGGAAACTTACCTGACCACGCTCTAATAATAAAAAAATAGGGTTTTTAAAATCATGATTCTTCAAAAGCTTGTATTTTTTCAAAAGCAATATATATCAAATAAATGCAAAGCCATGGCTTCTATAAAATGGTATAAGACCAGTAGCAAAGGTGTCTAACATACTACGAACATACAAGAAGAAAAGTAACTAGAAAACTATGGAAATTTGCTGTTGATATTCTGTTATTAAGAGTTGAATTTTCTTTTCTTTTTTTAAAGATTTATTTATTTATTTCAGAAAGAAAGAGAGAGCATGAGCGGGAGGGGCAGATGGTGAGGGAGAATCTCAAGCAGATTCCATGCTGAGTGCAGAGCCCCATGTGGGGCTTGATCCCACAACCCTGAGATCATGACCTGAGTGGAAATCAGGAGTTGGATGCTTAAGCACTCTGAGCCACCCGATGCCCAGGGAGTCAAATTTTCTTTTCATGCAATAGAACTTTTCGTTATTTCTTCCATGCCTTTGTAACACACTGACATGAAAACTGAGGAGAGAAGCTATCATGTCAGATCTCTGACGGTAGAAATGGACTCTCTTTTGTGGGAGGGAGCTTGGAGCTAGGTTCCAACAGAACTTGCTAGAATGAAATGATGACCCTGAGGAATCAGACCCTACTAGCCTGAGTTCCTAAAAGCAAAAATAGGAACAGGGTACAGAGGTGTTTGGTGGCAACTCCATTTTAAAAGATACATTTGCAGTGCAACTTCTGTGAGATCTCTGTGGGGGGATGACTTTGCACCTTACAGAAGACAAAACAAAACAAAAGGACAGTTGTTTGATTAATCCTGGCATTCTGGGACCTCTGTTACTTTCTTTTCACAAGTGACACCTGAAACATTAACACTACCATCATTCAGAATTGTACCCAAAATTAGAAATCTTTTTAGCATAACTCATAGCCACTGAAGCTTATATATGTATATATATTTATTGCATGTGTATTATGTATACCTATATACACATAAATAATTCAGAGCCTGAATTATTTCAATTGGGATGATCAATCCAAACCATTTTCTATTTTTTTTTTCATCACATGAGCATTATAGTCAGCTTTTAATTATATACCCTCCCCTTCAGTATTTTAGATTTTTTTTCCCCTCTTCTTTTCTTTTTTTCTTCAGTTTGCCAGCCCTACAACCACGGTTTTCTGCCCATCCATCTCAACCCACCAACTGTGGGCCAGCTTTGGTCAAGGCAATCCAGTGAACTTCTCCGCCATCTTGTAGCTTCACCCACATCCTCCCCAAGGAGGTAGACTCTTGGCCTTGGTGGGGGGTTGGTTCTTTCCCAAGCTTAGAGAGCCCCTCTACAGCCTCAGGATATTCTATAGTATTCTTCCTCTCCTAGTAGCTAAACGCCCATACACGGTTAACAATCCTTCATATTAACCCTTTCTGGTTTAAATCACTATGTGGACTCTGCTTCCTGACTAGATCCTAATGCAGGTGGGAAAGATAATTTTTCCCCTTAGGTCAGACCTGACTCCTAAGCCTTTTCTCTTTTGGCTACTTCACGCTGCCTTTCAAGCTAGCAGTGTTCAGAACCTCAATTCCTATCCATTTATTCCTTTTCCTGGCATTTTACCCTTTTCTTGTCTGGATTGGTCATTTTCTAAGATAAAAAAGTGATTCTAGAAGTGTATAGTTGATCTGCTTCTTTAAAAAAAAAAATAAACTTATACCCCCTTACCCATTTCTCTCATTCCCACCCCTGGCCTTTGTTGTTTTGTTTTTGAACAATCACACATATAATTCCAAAGTCTACTTTGGGGGCACCGGGGGACTCAGTCAGTCAAGCTTCCGACTCCGACTCTTGGTTCCAATTCAGGTCATGATCTCAGGGTTGTGAGATTGAGCCCCACGTCAGGCTCCGTGCTCAGCTCAGACTCCACTTGAAATTCTCTCCCTCTTCCTTTCACTCCTGCCCCTCTCTCCATTCACGCTCTCTTTCTCTAAAATAAATATATTTTTTGTAAATCTAAAAAAAAAAGTTTACTTCGCACCTAAGTTGTAAGAATTCTGTTCATGCCACATTAACCATATTTTATCATTATTATTATAGATCTCATATAGCATTATTTTCTGAGACTTCACGGTACTTTTCCTTTCTGGGAGGATACCCACTTTTTGTTGACTTTCAATGGGTTTTACACAGTAATTAACTTTTTACCTCTTTTAACACCCCAAATTGTTTTTTTAAACTTCTCCTGCCACAATCTTCTGAAATATTTTTTTTAAAAAAGATACCCTTGAACAAACAGGAATTTTTTTGCACCAAATATATAGTTCATATTCTCAGACCGTTCACCTAATCCTGCAGGATGCAAGGGCCAAACATTAAAAAGGGGGATGAGGTGAGGGCCATAAAACTCATCATGGTAGAATGCCAGTTCTAATGGAGTTTTGTCATGTTTTAATGGCCAAATGTCTTCCCTAAAGCATTGAACAAAATGGCGAAATAGATAATTTCACACTTGCCTCAGGAACAAACAATACCCATCGTTCCATTTCATAATCTATTTTTTTCCTCTGTGTAATAAATCTTTTGCACATGATGTAGCAAAAATAACAGGAGGCATCTAAAGATGTAAGAAATTCATTCTTAACCTATCCTGACAAATGTGGGCTTGAATGTGTGTAAAGGAAAATTCAGACCACGGTTCTCAAACTGGAATGCCTCTAGGGGCTTGGCAAGTAACACAAACACCAGACTGGGTGGCGACATTTTATAATTAAAAGTGTTGCCTTCTGCCTCCCCCACCCCAAAGGGGACAGCAGCCAAAGACACAACGATGGGTGTCATGGCATAACAGTGATGCCTTGGAGTGACAGCAGCCCCAACTCCCAGTACCTCAAGAAATACTGGAAACCAGGATTTCCAAGTATAAATCCTCCATCTTAAAAAATGGTTTCACCACTGCGCAGATCTAAGAAGAAAAGTATGTCTACAAACTGGGAAGAGTCTGGAGGTCACAATTCTGATAACTTTGCTTGCCAGAAAATTAACAGAAAATCCCCAGGAAGAGGCACACTTGCCAGTATTTACCTGTGAGCTCCCTTTTTATGTTGGGAAGGTTGGCTGGACAGGAGTTGCTGATGGTGAGGCCTGGGGGCGGCAGGCCTTGGTTGCCATAGAGGTCAATCAGATTTCCAGAGACAGGTAACTAGAGAGAGAAACAATAAGAGAACTGAACTGCTTGAACAATTCCTAGGTTATTCAGCTAGAACCCAGATCTATTCCAGACTTGATTTAAAAGAAATGGTTTGAGGTTTAAAAAAAAAATCATTTTTTAAAACAGGAAAGCATAATCTGTTTACCTTTCCACTCACTTAGATAATGGGGACCTTTAGCTTATTCCTCTGGAAGAAGAAAGGGCACAGAATCTCATCCCCTTAAGACGGTTCTATGATTAGCTTATAGTTCTATTTTGAGCATGGAGGCAATGGACACTGTGGCAACTCATTATCTAGCACCTTCAGCAGCACATAGTAGATGTTTAGGAAATGCTGGCTATTACTGTAAAATGGGGTTCTATGTGGCCTGACTTCTTCACCAAATCAGGTTTTTCATCAAAGTCACTTTTCTTCCTTCCCTCTCTTGCCCTCTCCATTTTTTTTTTTAAATCTCTCTTTATTTTATAAGGAAAACCAAGTGCAAAGTGTTTTCTACTGGAAAAGAAATGGTTTCCTTCTTGCTAAAGAAAAGCTCTTTTCCTTGAAACTGAAATCTTTCGTAGAGCCACAAGAGGGAGCCCACTGACTTTAATAAAAATAAAAATTTACACTAAAAAAAAAAAAAAAAAAAAAGTAAAGAAATATCTAGCCCTCTCAAGCTAGCTTAGGAGTGCTTTTTTCTCCATTCTGAACTGAGTATTTTGAAGTGGTAAACTTTCTGCCCTGGATGCTGATTTCCTTTTTCCGTCTATGCATTTCCCTGCACCTCGTTCATTGAAGGAGTTTGAGGACACCCATGTTTGTGGACATCAGAGGTCCCAGATATTTCATCTTCCTACCCTCTGAAATAAAGTTCTGATTATTAACAGAGGGACGGAGTTAGGTGACCTCACTACCGTCAGTGCAAAAGTTCCCTCTTCCCAGCTTAATTCAAACAATTCCTGTAACTATCATTACCAAGGAAGTCTTAGAGCATTTGGCCCATCCTTGATTGGACACTCTAAATTTTACTCTACATCTGAGAAAAGTAACTTGAGATGGCATTCAAGCTGTTTAGTGACCAAGAGGTATCGAGAAGAGATTCTACTACACACCTCACCTTCCAATTTCTCCAATGGCCACTAACACACACATAAAAATACCCGCAAAATACAGATACAAATGTGTTTCCTTTCACTGGTTGCCCTTGACTGTCTATTCCCGTCACGGCTTCTAGAGAAGTAGACCATGAACCCAACCCCAAGCTAAAGAGGAGGGAGTCGCCTGTACTTTCTGACAGGTAAACAGGACACTTGCTCTAATACAACTGGGTCTGGGAACAGGAAGGACAGACTGATCAGCGGAACGGGTCTCTCTCTTGTCCACTCCAACTTTTCTTCTTTTTGAAGGCAGGATTTATATTATGTATATGAAATGTAATACACTTATTCCACCTCACAGATGCATATAAACAGTGCACTGTGAGCATTTAGAATGCCCTTGAAGCACAAGTCAAGCCCCTCTAGCTAAAAACCTGATGACCAGTGACTTTGATTCTTAGCTGTCATTTTGCTAAGTGGTTTCATTTGAAGTAGGTCACCTTCCTGGGGTCAGCCTTGCTCTGCGAGTGGTCCGTTCTATTCTTGTACAACTTAAGACAGCAAAGTGAAAGGTATACAAATGTCTTAATACAGCACTGTAAAGACAGCATCAAAACTCATAAAGCCTGTAGGACATCTCGTAACCCGCTGCAAGACTCCCAAGATTTATCCTCTTATCCTTCTGGACTTTCAGATTCTGGAGGAACTACTGAGTGTTAATAAGCCAAGAATGTGGCTTCAAAATTCAACGCAACAAGTTAAAAAGATATATCCATATCTCTAGAAATACGAATCATAGCTATCATCTTTTCAAACGCAAACTGTAAGCAAAACAATGCAACTGTGTTATGATGATGATTTGTTAGGGAAAATGTAACAGGCAAGAGATACATACAGTAAACTTTAAAAAACAGAACAAAACAAAACCCCTCTAATGCATCAACACTGAATGGATAGGTATCTAATTATAAGCTTCTCTGGGACAAGACCATGTTCTCTAAACACATTCTAAAGGAAATGAAGTGCATGTGTACTTAATAAATGCAGAACCATATGAAGGGAGGGAGGGAGAGGGACAGACAGAGGGCAAAAGAAACAAAAACTGGGAACGAGACAGAGACAAAGACACAAGGGGAGGGGTGGAAACTGAAGAGAGAGACTCATGTACATAGAAGGGGAGAGAGGCGGACAGACGGATGGAGAGGCATTCGGGATGGGGGTGGGGAGGAAGAGCACAAGACTGGGGACACCCAGACACGAATGGGGTGGGCAGACGCGATTGCTGTGACTGGCATGGACTGACAGCCCTGCCTGCCTAGAAGGGAGACGAATTAAAATCTCTATAATGAGATGCCTTATCGGACACTCTACTGAGGTCAAACGTCATTACTTTCAGACCAAAAAGCAGCTTATAATCGTCTCCCAACTTCTCTAAAAGATTTCCCACTTTGGCTGCTTTTCCGATACTTGCTGATTAGGAAGTGGCAGCATACATCCTGCCAGAATATTTTGCTGCGGAACATTTCTCTGTGGCCTCCTACTCTGGGTCAGGCACAAAACTAGAAAGGCACTTTGTATATGCTGTCTTAATTGATTTTTACAAAAGAAAAACCATGGTTCTAGCTATGTCTGAATAGAGCTTTGTGGTAGGAGGTTTGTATACTATGTTAATAGCAATATTTGGGGGGCAGGGTCAACTGCTGATAAACCAATTCAAAGCTGCAATTTTCAATTAATCTCCAACTAATTCTAAGCAAATAAAATCCCAGGTGCTCATGAGCCAAGTATGGACACTCAAATTTACGAATTAATGGTGCAGGCTGGCTCAGGAGGCAGAGAACTGGGTTAAAACCTGCCTGTTACTGACCTGCTGGGTGATACTAACCTCCCTGAGGCATGCCCCGCCACACACCTTTGCAAAGCGGCAATCCTATCGCAGAGGTCAACTGGGTGAGACGCTGTATTTAAGTGATCAGTACTGCCATGTTTAGTAATATAATTTTCTACAAAGTACTGTATTCCTAGTCTATTTTCAACAGGCAAGCTGATTTCCGCTTTGATCAACTGCACCACGTGCCATGTTCATTGCTAAGTTAATTGCTGTCAACTTCTGCACCGATTTTCCAGACTGCAAAGCAAATCCAAACACGGAACTACAGGGTTGGGGTAACCACCCAGAGTTCGAATCAGGGTTTCTCCATCGTCAGTGGAGGGCATCTGTCAATTGTCTAGAGCCATTTTCAGGTGTCACAACTAGGGGAGAGGGTACCACTGACATCTAGTGGGTAAAGGCCAGGGATGCTGCCAAACGTCCAACAATGGGCAGGACAGCCTCACAAAAAAAGAACTATCCATCTCAAATATTAATCATGCTGAAGGTAAGAGACTCTGCCTCGAAATGTGCCTTACGTTCTTTATACTAAGGGCTGCCATTTGTTGAAGCTACTAAAAGGAAGGTTGGTGAAAAATGGCTTTCTAATTTAAAAATCAGTCACACATATTTAAGAAAGGATTTTGTGGTTTCTCTTCTGGGTTAGAAAAACTGCCCCATAAACACGATAACTGGGTCAAAATAATATCTTTGGAGCTAAGGAAGAGGAAGAGGCACCTTCTGCTAACATGGCAACACTGTGTGTTTGCTGGGTTTTTATCCAGCGCATTCACCTGATTGGCAAGACCTTACCTCCAGCATACAAGCAGTACAGAGGACGGAAGCCACAGCCTAAGAGGGACAAAGAAAGAGAAGGTAGACACGTATCTGTGTCCCCAACTTGTTCTGAATTGAGTTCTTCAATGTGTTCCTCCACCAAAATGAATATTTTTCCAAGTAAATGATCATTGTAAAATATTATTTTTTTCTTTCTGGATGTTCCCCTTCACTGAATATCAATTGAGCACTGTTAGCACAAGTAAACTGGGACTTTTATTCTTTGTTTGTAATGGTACAAGAGGGCCCTTGTGTTCTCAGAATAGTTATTTCTAGACTCCAATTCCCTTAGGATAGTTTCCTCTCTAAGTGCTCCCTCCACTTTAATTTTTTTTTTGGAAGTTAACTTGAAATAAAGCATATCAAAGAATCAGATAAAAGGGGAAAAACACCCAACATGAAGAACATTAAGTTTAAACACGATTGAGGGGGAAGAAAATAAAAATGTTAGTGAGTTGTTGGTAGCTTTGTTATTTATTTTGACAATCCAAACCCAGATTTATCAAGAATAAGAGCTAGTAATTAACATTTAGTAAGAACACATCAGAACCAAGATTCTTCTAAGTGCTTTTTGTAGGTTAGTGCTTATAATTTTCATATGCATCCTATAGTTTTAGATGCTATTATTATTCCCATTTACCAGACAAAGAAAGTGAGGCAAAGAGGTCAAACAGCTTACTCAACAGCAGGCACTGAATTCAGCTATCTGACTCAGTCTGTGATCCTGACCTCTATTGTATACTGGGTCTTCTCTAATAGCAAAATGCTAAAACGGCTTTGTCATGGGCTGGCTCTGATGGGGCTACACCTAGACTTTTTCAGGTGGAAATATAAAAAAGTAATGAATGCCTGGACAATCAGTGATATCTGAGGGTGGCTACGGGTTTCTCCTCCCCAGCTGGCAATTAATTCAACTCTGTCCAGCAGATCTTTTCTAAGAACACCCTTAACATGGTCCTTCTGCCCCAGAATTATCCTCCTCCATTCAAGGTCTAACAGGGTCTCCCCTTCCCAGACTGTAAGCCCCCTGAGAACAGGAAGCACTCCCTACTCATCTTCATCCACAGCACCTCGTCTAGGGCTGGTGACATATTAGTTCATTTAAAAATACTAATTAAATCCTAATGTTAACTTAGAAGCAGTCAGATTTCCATTCTAACGTAGAATGACTGAGGAGGAGACATGGGTGTTTAGTCTAAAGGAGAGAAGCAAGTGAGGGTCTTGAGAACTGTCTTCAGAAGGGTTGTCATGAGGACAAGTTCTCCATGAGGGCAATCTGACCCATGTTTGGAATTCACAGAGAGACACACTGTAAGTAACACCTGGATTATTACGTATATTGTTATTCTGAAGTAGAATTGGACACATTACAGATGCTCAGGACTATCACCTGAATAAAATACTGTCAAAATTATTTGCTATTGTAAGGAATTATACTGAATTGAGATATTGTTGAGTACAGCTTAGGTTTCCGATGCTAAATGCTATAGTTTATGAGATGACCATGGGACGTAGGTACAATTATCAGTCTAATTTCAGAGATGGAGAAATGCAGAACTTTAAGAAGCTAAGTAACATGCTAGACCACACGGGGAATGGCACACTTTAGAGATGAACTAAGATACACTCTCACATCTCCAATTTCTAACCTCTGTGCCTTCCAGCCTGTCTTGTGAGTTAGTGCATATCCTCCATTGGAGGCTTTCCAGAAGATGGATGTCTAGTTTTTCTGTGTATGGGGATGGTGCACAGAAGATATGCAGGAGGATACTAAGGCACTGAGTACTTGATTGGCTCAGACGACTTCCAAGGTCCTCGCCATTGGAGAAAATTTTAAAGATCATTTATAAAAAATCATATTAACTTTATAGTCCTCCTAACGTACCTAGATACCACCCGACACCACTGGCAAAATGACCACCTTCATCCAGCAAAGTTCGTTTGGGATGACTGGGCCATTGCGAATGATTGCTGCTAGGGCACTGAAAACACCATAAATATACCCACGTTTCTGGGTATACTTACAAATTTCAAAGTGCAAGCTCTCCCAAGTGTCTTCCTCACACTGGTCCCAGGATTCTGACTGCTGACAAGTACAGTCTGCCTCACAAGAGGCACAAAGTTGGAAGCAGGAGGGTTCTACAAAAGCAAACCAGGGGCTCAAAGAGGGTGGGGAGAGTCTGACATGGAAACATCTGTCAAGATGGCAGAATATCCAGTTCTTTCAAAATCGGAGGGTAAATTTAAATGGGCAGGAAGTTGACAGAAACTAAAGATCCTAGAAAAGACTTTGGAGTTTTAAGGGTCCTCCTTACACTTCAGGTAAATGAACCGAAAGAACTGGACCAAGATGGAAAAAAAGAAAGTACTACCTATCAGACTTAAGTTCACCAAGAATTTTGGTGTAAATAAGTAAGGGCTATCATATTCCCTAGCTGAGAGAATTTGTCATGTGAATTTATTCTTTAAAAAATTTTCTATTGTGGTAAAAACACATATGACATAAAATTTAGCATCTTAACCATTTTGAACTGTACGGTTTAGTAGCATTAAGTCTATGCACACTGTTGTGAAACAAATCTCCAGAATTTTTTCATCTTGCAAATACCAAACTCTATACCCACTGAAGAACAACTCACCTTCACCCCATCTCCCCTGTGGGAGTCAATCTTTGCAATACAGGTTATTAAAGGCTATGACAGTCTCATGGCATTGCTCTCATAGAAGAGAGGAAAAGACTGGACAAGGTATTCAAAGCCTACTGAGAAGACCTGACTCTGACACATCGAAGCTACATAATCCTGTGCAAGACCAGCTGACCTTTCTTAATCCTAAAAATGAGGGCAATGATACCACCCCAACTTGACTCACAAAATTATTGCAAGGACTAGATTCGGAGACTTATTACAAGGACTAAATAAGATCTACGATAAGACTTTGGTAAAATGGAAACATAAGACACCATTGTAAGGAATGAAAAAAAGAGAAAAACCCAGTAGGGGCAAGGTTCCTAATGACAGAGAGAAATAAGTTTAATAAACCACTGATTTATTAACCAAAATCAGAATAAATTTTGCTATTGAAGAAAGGCAAATCGAGTGTCAGTCACTCTATTACTCGTGAATAGTAAGATACTGCCATTTTAAAAACTGCACTCATTTTTCAGGCCAACTAGAATGCTAGTGTAAATAGTACTATCCATAGTATTTCCAAGTACACTTGGGGGCAGTGTACTAAGTTGGGCATTAGATGTCAGGGGGAATTGGAAGGCCTAATGTCCTATTGAAAGTGGACTTGGACTCCAGGGAATGTAGAGCTTTATCATGGGGTTACCAATAAACCCATGAGAAATTCTCAATTTCTGAATTCAAAGTCACTCACTTGCAATCCTGACATAATTCTCTGTTATATTCTTAATAAGTTTCTCAATCAGTCACTTGAGGAAATAACCTAAGAGATCAGGAAAAGGAAATATCTGGAAATATCTCAAGATTTTCTTAAGAAAAAAAAAAAATCACCAATACCGTATTTGCCATTTGCAAAGCAGGATCCATCAATCCCAGGATTTCTTCATTATAACTTGATTCTAGGCTAATGATGTCATCGATTACATCATCCATCTGTAGGAAAAAGGGCAATGTAAGAGAGATCAATAAAAGCAAACACTGTGCAAAGCCACCCAAAGAGAGACCCATGGTCTTTTCTTATCCTAAGCACTAATGCTCTTCAGTTAGATGCTAAGAAATTACCTCCCTCTTCTTCCCAAATATGAACATTACTGTTAGGTCACGGACACTAAGAGGGGATAAGGATGCCATCTGCAACCAGCACTTAGTGAGGGATTACTAGGTGCCTGGCACTGGATTTAGGGCTTTGGATGGGTTAAATTATTCTCCCCTCAGAATACCTCTATCAGTGCAGGTACTGTTAGTAAATCAATTTGCCAAGTGACGTAAATGAGAAGCATCTTGCCCAAAGTCATACACGGAAGAGGGTTAGAGCCACAACTTGAACCCATGCTCTCAAGTGCTATGCTTAACTGCCTTCCCCAAACAGGAAAGGTGAACCAGGAAACCTTATCTTGAATGATGGCTGCCATTTCTCTTTTTTTTTCTCTCAAGACTATACCCCATGGCCTTTGTAGACCCTCCCTTCAGTAAGACAATCCAGCTGATAGTTTAGACCTTCACTCTCTTAGGCACATAGGGGGCACTGCGGCTCTCGGGCTGCTGGCTAACCCTGCACTGATCCTGCAATGACTTGTAAAATAAGTTTCTCCTTGTACAGCTGCCAGTGTGCTCGGTACTCCCAGAGGAGTACAGCAGGACGAGGTTATCATTACAGTCATGGAGCTGACATTCCCACTAGATCAATTTTATTCCTGAAGTACCAAAACATCAGTTATGATAATAAACAACAGTGATTACATGTGCATTACAGCAGTTGCAAAGACAAGGCTGTGAAAACATTTCTTTGTAAACACCTGATGTATTTGAGCTGGCTAGTGTGTGTGTGTGTGTGTGTGTACACGCATGCACGCACAGATCTAAATAGTGCTTCACAAGTACACAATGAAATTTCAAAACTCAGAGGAATGCTCCTTTACATGTTTTTACCATTGTCAATTAAAGGGGACAGGCTCCAGTGCCACAGAGCTTGGAATCCTCATTCTCCCACTTTGTGTATTAGGGGCAAAGCCCTCAATTTTAAAGAGCCTCAACGGGGCCAATATGGAATATGGGGTTAAAATACTCATTGCCTTACTGGATTCTTGTGAGATTTCAGGATAAACCATATAAAGTGTTCAGAGTGCTATGGCTAACCCTCCCAAAAAAATGAGGGTCATTAAGTGACCCCCTTAAAAAGAGTAATTGCAGGTCAGTTTTGATTAACTGCCAGTGGTTTATTAAGTTTCATTTCTAGATACACCAGTTTTGTTTGTTTGGTTTCAAGAGATGATTTTCTTTTTTTTTTTTTTTTTCAAAGATTTTATTTATTTGACAGACAGAGATCACAAGCAGGTAGAGAGGCAGGCAGAGAGAGAGAGAGAAGGAAGCAGGCTCCCTGCGGAGCAGAGAGCCCGATGCGGGGCTCGATCCCAGGACCCTGGGATCATGACCTGAGCCGAAGGCAGAGGCTTTAACCCACTGAGCCACCCAGGCGCCCCTCAAGAGATGATTTTCTAATTGAGTTGAACAGGCAAATGGGTCAGAGTACTTATGATCAAGTCCTCTTTCCTTGTAAATTTTTTTAGGGAAATAAATTTAGTGGGCTTGGTGTGATTGTTTTTTAAAATAATTTCTTTTTCTTATAAAAAAGAACCACTAATGCAAATTAATAACAGGAAATATAGAAAAGCAAAAAACAAAAAGAAAAGGAATTTTTCAGTGCTTATTCTTCTTTCTCTTATACATCTAGACACTTATTTTAAAATACATAACTATGTTAATAAATGTAGCATTATTTTTTAAATCTATTTAATAGGCTGTCATAGAAGAATCTCTCATCACTTGGGAAAAATCCATGAAGTATCACTAAATTAATAAAGTTTGAAATGTGTGTTTCCTGAGATTCCATTTCATAAAACAATATTTAGAGCTCTCTCTTTCTCTCTCTCTCTCACACATACACACACACAATCACATGCATATCGTGGTTTTACTAAGAGCCTTTTGAAGTTGCTCCCTTACAAATTTGTGTAACACATTCATGATATCTAAATGAAGTACAGCATTATTTTATTTTATGTACCAAAATTTATGTATTTCAAGTACTTTTAAATGACTTGAAGCAACTTAGGGAAAGTGCATTTTAAGTTTAATTTCCCTGAGTTATTTCATCATGAGACACTGAAGAAAATGGTCCTGTTCATAGCTTTATTAAAAAAAAAAAAATCAGTGAGGGGAATGAAACCCTTGAGTCATCAGGAAGGTGTGATGAGCCACAAATATAGATTCTCACTACAAAGTGTGACATCCTTGGGCTGCCGGGTCATTCAGTACCTGCATGCACGATGCTCGTGAATGTGTGTTCATAGTTGGGCATTCGCTTTCCGCCCTGTTTTGCTCTTCAAACTTATAAAATCCCTGCAAAAACACAAGCAAAATCAGCCCATGACTTGGATTGGCAAATGACTTTTCAATGACATGTTCACACGAGGCTGATGACGCGGCAACAAGATGGACTAATAAGCTTTTTCAAACAAAGTGGAATCTGACCGAGAAATAAAATAGCGCAGAAAGAACTTCCACCAGATCAGCTTGAGAGATGACAATTATGGACAGAGAAAAATAAGACAGTTGGTTTGGGCACAGGGGAAAAGACTTAGTCCCTCTGGAAATTAAAACTCAGCAACTTCAGAAGAGTCACCTCTGAAATCCCATGAACATTTCAGAGTACAGTAAAACTCCATTAAAATGAGGCTTATCATCTTATAATTTGGAAATGACGGGCATTAAGTCACAACTCTTCCCCTCAGGTATTTTTAGGCTTCCAATTTTGATGCAACAATTAGCTTGAGGTGTGTTTGAATCTCGTCTCCAATCCGGCCTTTACAAAAGCAGGTTTCACGGCAGCGGCAATCTTATTACGAAACGGAATTTATCTAGCAATTAAAACCTTAGATTTTCTGTTAAATTCTCATGTGCTACATTACTCAAATCCGTCCACGCACATGCTGTGCTTTTTTTTTTTTTTACTTCAACTCAGAGAGAAATAAAAATAATATTCCAGACATTCACAACAAGCGGAACTTCTAAACCGCCTGTCCCACACCTTTTCTATTTTTGCTTTTCCTTCTCCACCTTGCCTTCTCCTCTCTCTGCGTTTTTCTGGCTTTGTAAATGGAAAGGCATTGAAGAGAAGAGAGCGCTCGGCTCACGGAGCGGAAACAGGGTGGGGGGGTGGGGGAGAAAGTGTCCTCCTCGCCTCCACGTCCCACTCTGGAGTGCCCAGGTGTCCCAACCTGAGGCACAACCCAACAGGACCCGGTGATGGCGTGAAGAGGCTGGAGCGCGGTGGCCACACGGCAGAATGTGGGACAAAGACTGGCGCATGTGGCCCCGCAGACAGACTAGAGTCCACAGTCAAGTGTGGGAATAATAGCCAACAGACATTCATTTAGTGTAAGAAGACAGGAGAGGGGAGGAGACATGAATTACCTCTTTTTCACAGTTGGAGTTAAGTGTGAGCATAGCCATGGGGCTGTTGGGTGCGCTGCTCCCCGGCACTGGTGGCATGACATGATCGCCAGGCTGGTTTGGACATGGCAAGCTCAGGACTTGGTTGGCATGTTTATTTGCTAAAGTGGTAGAAAGGTACTGCTTTACCTGCTGCCTTTGGGCTTGCTGTATGTGGTACTTGGTGGGGTTTTCGAGGTGGGTCTGCACCTGAACATAGCCACGGAGGGAAGAGAAGACAGCGCCGTTATTTGTGAGTTTCGGTCGGCTCTTTTCTCACGCACAAACATGAGACTGGCCAAGTCCACCAACAGAATAAATTATTAAGCCCCTGTTATGTACCAGGCACTGTGCTAATGGATTTTGATATTACTGAAGTTTAAAGGCTAACACTCAGGATTTGGGGTAATACTTTGCCCTGTTTTAGTTCCCCTGCTAATTAGCTGCACATCTCTTTGAAACCTTGTGCCCTTTTTGCTCATGTCCAATAATTTAAAATTCACAACCATCTGGAGGGCAACACTTTCCCCAACACGACTGTCAGGGTTTACTGAGATCAGAAGGACAATCTAGAAAAAGGAGCCTAACAATTTATTTTACTTTCCTTGGCAAACAGAACAGCTTTCTGTTTAAAAACAACAAAAACAAACCTCCTTAAGAGCCAGCTGTAAACGGTTGTAGAAAATAAACAGAAACATTCTGATGATTAAATCAACTAGTTGTAGATTAATTCCTCCCACTTTCATTTGGACATGATTATTCAACATTTTAATTAAGATCTTGAACTCAACATAAAAAGCAATTTATGGGAAGCAGTTTCTTTCAAAATGCCTCACACTTACATGTATGTGTTTTTCAAGGCATGACTGTGAAGCCACCAGGATCTTTTTCCTCCTTTCTTAGAAAAACTAATACAGAATTAAAAATGCTTTTTAAAAAAAATCAATGATACTCAATTTAAAGTCACTTTTTCCTTGATAAACACAATTTAATCTTATGAGCTCTGAACAGGAGCTGATGGAGAGAGCACAGCCAGGCACTAGGGGAAAAAAAAAATACCCTACTAATATTTACTTTGTTCAAAACCACATTGAATTACCTCTTACGGTATCAAACAGTAAACAGCATTAAACTAGTAGACCTGCACTTATTGGAAAGAGTACAATAACATGAAAAGGCAAATTACTCAATTTACTGCATTACATTTCAGACACTACATATGAATAAGAATAAAGCTCACCTGATAGTGATTGTATTCTAGCATTTCCAGCATAACAACGTTTTAGGTGGCCCCAGTCCAACAAGAGAAACGGTAGACTATTCACTCCCTCTACTTTCTGTAATTCCAGTTCAAAGACTGACTGGCATAGAGAAGGCACTATAAACAAAGTATCCCGAGACACCACCGGAAACTTTATCACAGCAGCCCTGCTTATAATAACCTAAGCTAATTAGTTATGCATGTAAAAAAAACCCATTCGCACAAGAGGCTTTTTTTTTTTTTTTTTCTTTTGGAAGCCCTACGAGTTTGGTCTTCAATATTGGTATCAATTTTCCCCCCTGGCTTGACGTCATGCTTTTTTCATAAATATAAAAGAACCTTTTTAAGTGATGAGCTATCAAAGTCAAACTCACTGTCAGATCAAGGCCAATTCACTATTCATCTTTAGTTCCAGTAGTATTAATAGACAATGGTATTTCTCTTTCAGCAATAGGTTAAGAGCTAGATGCCCCCTTTGGAGAAGACACTGCCTAAAAGCTACTGTTACACTTGAGACTTTTCTAATGGCCACATAACGGTAACTGCCAACTGCAGGAAGAGTGTCTATGGAGGAGTCTCTGTGCTGCACTTTCAAGTTCAATGGCCTCATCCTGTACCCTGGTTTCAGTGAGCATCTTATTCTTAGCTGCATGGAAATGTAACTTCCCTACTGACCTCACATCAGAAAGAAGGGAAAGTATTCTAAACAGAACAAGAAACACACACGCGCACACGTATAGGACTGGATGTGTATTTATGCGGAGAATAAGAAATAAATGTCTCCCCAATTTAACCAAGTTGGGAAGCATGAAAACTTTACTAAAAATCTTTTATTATAATTCTTAGGGATAGAGAAAAGTAAGAGTGATCATATGCACAACTGATGTATATTTACTCATTTACTTGTTCCATTATTTACTGTTACTATGTGCTGAATGCCAAGCAAGACACGGAATAGACATTGTGCCCAAACAGACCTGACAGCTTTATGAAACTTGCAGTCTGGTGTGAGACAAAAGAAGAAAAAGGCAAATGAGTATATATGTAAAAATTAGGATAAATGATCGATATTCACTGCTGAAATAGGGAGATATCTTAAGGACAAAAATTTTGAAATTCAGTAATTTGATCCAAATGCCCAGGAAAAATGAAGTCCTTTATGTTGCCAATCTTAAATTGTTTCAAATGACTGATCTAACATGCACACAGAGGTTCAGAGAGACATTTTAAGTGTATGAAAGGGTCCAGACACAATAATGATGAGGACAACAGACATTACTAAAATAAACCCAAAATGAGGGCAATGGGTGTAATGTGCTTATTTCACTATTACACTAAAAAAAGAAAGGGCTACACATTTAAAAATAAATGTTAATTCACTGGCAGATCCTTATTCTTTAATGAATTAAAATCTGATGCTTCAATATGGAAGGAAGAACCTGCTCTGTGTTCAGCGTTGACAGTGGGCTCTTTACTATATGTAGGTTGGGGTAATCAGAGTGGAATGTATTTTGTCCCTTTCTGCCAGTGTCTTTTTAGTTTTCAAATAAGCTAGGTACAGTTTGGCTACCAACACTATACAGGAGGTAGAACATCTCCAGCTGTTTCCAACCCAAACACTGAAAACAGGTAACAGCAAGGAGGAAGGTGAGCTCGAGATAATAGGGGGTGGTGAGGTCTGTGGCAAACTAGGACGCACACGTCTAAGAAGAGCTGACATAAGCTGCAGCTGATTGTGGCCATATGGGTATACCACCCCAGTCTAGACCTTCCAGTTTCGAGATACAGCTGGCAAAGAAAATTTTTTTCAGTTAAGTCTCCTAGATGAAAAAAAAAAAAAAAAAAAAAACAAAAAAAACCCTGATGTCCAACTGTTTGACTTCTCATCCTGCATGGGACAAGGCACACATACCTGTGGGCTGGACTCAGTCCATAAGCCAGAATGTGGTCTCCACTTCACACCCTCCTTGCGGATAATCCCCCATCTACATTCCCTGGGGCAGGATGGGGGGGGCAGGTTCTGAGGGGGCAAGTAACTGCCTACATCCAGGCATTTCCTGGCGCCCCCCGACAGTCAGCATGCCTGAGAGCACACTCAGCAGAAGACTTAAGGATTCAAAACCTGTGTTCGAATTAAGACTTTGCATCTTCACTGTTAAAGTGACCCTTTGCAAGTCACTAACTCCTCCAGGCTTTCATCTTCTCCCATGCTCAAGAGGGATGGTAACTGGGCCTGCATCATGGAGGTATTACAGCATTAAATGAAATCACACTTCTGACAGGCTTACCAATATATCTGAAAAACAGTAGTTCTCAAACTTTTTTTTCATTTGTTTGGTTTGGTTTTAAAACCATTTTCAGTCCTTCAAGTTTAGATTGTCTCTGTAAGTTATATCCATCAGTGGTTACCATTTTATGAACTAGAGAAGCAAGTTTTAAAAATGTACACAAGCATACATTCCACTGGCCATCAGAAGAATGACATTTTAATGCTCGTGAAGTCTTCGTAAAACTCTTCTGTAAAGTCACAAGATGAGCATGAAAGAAGGAAAAGAAGCACTCTGTATTATTAAGAAAATAGTTTTGACCTGGCAGAAGCACTGCAAAGGGTCTTGGGAGACCCTCCAGGCTCTCTGACTTTGAGAAGGGCAGATCTAGAACCTTATCACCTCCCCATTCTAGCCATGCTAGTCACCACTGTGCAGCAGTGGGGTGTGACACAACCTGTGTATCTTGCCTCCCTTGGCTAGAAGACACTAGAGGAAGGCACTCAACCCTCTACCTTCCTCACAGCAATATTATGAGGCTCTAAAGTCCTATGACAATTTTAAAAGCCATATAAATAAGATCTTCTGTCTTCAACCATCCTACACCATAGCTTTTTAGTTAGTGACTTCCCCTGTGTTACTTTCTAAATAGCCAACCAAGCGAGCATACAAAGGAAAACATATATGTAACATTAAACATCTGAATGATTTCCTGAGAATTTCGGCATGGGGTTGAGCTTCAAACTAACTACCTGACTTAATGAATTCGGAGAGCAAAGTTAGGTATTGCTGGGCCCTTGAAGCACAGTCAACAAAATAAAGCTAGAGCACTTCTGACTCCATCAAGAGATACTATTTTGTTGATAAAAGGGATATTTCGTATAAATCAAGTATGTTAGCTATCTCGTTGTAGTGCAAAACTCCAAAGGCTGTGAAACTCTTTGTCCTTGTTACTGCTACTATCTTTTCGTGCCTTTTCCTTTCTTCATTCAGATCCTGAACTGATACCCAGAGAAGTGGAATGGATCACCTTCTGTCACACTAGCTGTGCCACTTCCCGGGTGACAATGACAGGTTATTTTCCATCAGTTTCATTCGAAAGAGATCCGGAAGCACATCAGTGTGAGATGGTGCCTAGAGATATTACCATCTTGAGTGACAAAAGAATTCACCACAGGGGAAAAAAAGTCCCATCTTAAGGTCCACGGTTCTTCTATTCCCTCTATTTGGAAACCAGAATGTAAATAAAACTGAGGGAAGATTCCCGTAATTCTTTTAGCTCACAAATTTATTATTTTTTTTAAACACATCAATGGAAAGTTCAGATTTCTCATTTAATGTTTAGGGAGATGATGTGTCCTGTTGCTCAATAAGGTTCAGGAATCTTAAAGAGATTATAATTCACTCAATTACTATCCACTACTGACTGCCTCCCACTACCAGTCTTTGATATTGTTTTTTTTTAATGACAATTTATAGAGATGGTCAGTTATGCAATCACCATCCCTGAAAAACATGGTAAAACAGAGAAAGCTAGCTTTTAAAAATGACTTGGGCCAAGTCTTGTCCAGGGTCACATTTGACAGTGGCAGGGCTCTTTTCAGTTCCACAACTGTAATGTTACCACTACAGAAACCTCAAGCCCAAAACACATGTTTTCAGACACTTAGTCATGTTTTTCT